GCCGGAGAATCGGAGCAGCGGGAGCGGTACTGCAGTCGCTTTACCGCACCGTTGTGACGAAAAGGGAGCTGAGCCAGAAGGCAAAGCTCTCTGTCTACCGGGCCATTTTCGTTCCTACCCTCACCTATGGTCATGAAGGATGGGTCATGACCGAAAGAACGAGATCGCGGATACAAGCGGCCGAGATGGGTTTTCTCCGCAGGGTGGCTGGTGTCTCCCTTAGGGATAAGGTGAGAAGTTCGGTCATCAGGGAGGGACTCGGAGTTGAGCCGCTCCTCCTTCGCGTCGAAAGGAGCCAGTTGAGGTGGTTCGGGCACCTAGTTAGGATGCCACCTGGGCGCCTCCCTAGGTAGGTGTTCCAGGCACGTCCAGCTGGGAAGAGACCAAGGGGTAGACCTAGGACCAGGTGGAGGGATTATATCTCTTCGCTGGCCTGGGAGCGCCTTGGGATTCCCCAGTCAGAGCTGGTTGATGTCGCCAGGGAAAAGAAAGTTTGGGGCTCTCTGCTGGAACTGCTACCCCCGAGACCCGACCACGGATAAGCGGGAGAAGATGGATGGATGGATGGCTCTCTATGAGACCGACAGCGAAATGGTTTTACTGTTTCTAAATTGTTAAAGCTTATCTTCATTATTTATCCGCAGGAAAATGGTTCAGTATCGATATATCTATGATATCAAAAGATGATATCAGTAATAGATGTATCTGTCAGAAGCCGGGTTTGCTGCATTTTAAAAGTACATACATGAAAGATAAAAATATATATGTGAGCATAAGAAAATAAAGTAAGTCATGATTTAATATATAGTGTTTTTTTCAGAAGATTCCACTTCCCGAAGTTCACTGAAAATGTGAGGTATTTAAAGGGTTAATGTTGACACTCCAATACATGAGATGTCACATACAACATTTTAAATATATCAGTGATAAAAACACATCTTAGTCCTCAAAGTGTACCTGCACAGATGTCCTGGTGCGCTCCACGAAGGCTCTCCTCTCCTGGAGCTCATCGTCTCCCAGTCTGAACTTCCCTGGGTTCGACTCCACGATGCCTGAGGCCAGTTAAAGACCCAACACACAGCGAGCGAGCGAGCGAGCGAGCGAGCGAGCGAGCGAGCGAGCGAGCGAGCGCCACACACACACACACACACACACACACACACACACACACACACACACACACACACACACACACACACCACACACACACACACACACACACACAACACACACACACACACACACACACACACACACACACACACACACACACCACACACACACCCACACACACACACACACACACACACACACACACACACACACACCACACACCACACACACACCACACACACACACCACAACACACACACACCACACACACACACACACACACACAACACACACACACACACACCACACACACACACCACACACACACAACCACCACACACACACACACACACACACACACACACACACACACACACACACACACACACCTGAATTGTGTGTCAGTCTTAATGTGAGGGTAATTTCCCGAAGGTAAATATGGTTCTCCTCTTCTTCCATTAGAAACACTCAAATGCGTCTGTTTCATACACTACTCAGCACTTGTAATGACCTAAGAGTGCCACACACTGATACCTGATGGAAACACACTCTTCTATCTTTAAATCAAAAGGTGTCAACTATCACAGTGGCTGTTTTTTGTTATTCAATTCTTAGTAACACCACAACCTGCCACAGGATGTGTGAAGGGATATTTTCACCACACACAGGGAATAGAAACCAGCAGCTCACACACTCTGTGACACTAAAGCTGAACTTTACACCTTGATTTAATCCTCTCTCTCTTCACAGCGGGAAACTCTGTACAGCTGACGTCTCACTTTCCTCTCACACTGTGTTTTACACAGAAACAGTCAAAAGCATCTGGTTCTTATTCATCCCTCAAAATTGACCCAATAAGAGACAATAACAAGACATTCTACAATAATAGATCCATAACGTCTTAATTATCATGTTTGTAGAAGTGGTTCTGGTGTTAAAGGGTTAATACATCTCTAGCATGATTCATTAATAATTAGTTAATCGATTAACCTGATCAAATGTTACATGTTGCTCCATGTACCTAATCATCTGAGGGGGATTTCTTGTTGTGTGTTTGTAACTTGTGATGTGTCATTTTGTAAAGCACGTTGAGCTGCATGTGTGAAAAGTGCCGTATAAATAAATCTGTATTATTATAAGTGTAGAGATAAAGGGAACAGAGGGTGAGAGTGACACAAAGCAGCTGGTTGTTGTTTTGCAGATACAGTCAGGCCTGAGCAGATAAGGGAATCTCTAAAGTGTGAAGGATACTGATGGTCTCACTGAGGTCCTCCAGGTCCCAGTCGATGGCCCTCAGACAGTTCCTCAGCTCGTTGGCACTCCAGTCCAGCTCATCCCGACTGACCTGAGACCAGCAGAAACAGAAACACACTCACTATGTGTACGGTAAGGTACGTTTATTTATAGAGCACATTTTCAGACACAATAGCCTCATCCCAATACCCCTCCTCGACTCCTCTCTTCCCCTCCTCCGGGACTTGACCCGGAAATCGATCAAGACACGCCATGTTGAAGGACGTCCCAATAGCTGAAATGCACACGGAGGAGTCGAGGAGGGGTGAGGGAGGGAGGGTTGAGGGAGGATACGAAAGGGAGGAGGGGTGAGGGAGGATACGAAAGGGAGGAGGGGTGAGGGAGGATACGAAAGGGAGGAGGGGTGAGGGAGGATACGAAAGGGAGGATACACGCGAGCAGACTACGTGGAAGTGTTTTCACTACTCGCCCCCACCTTCACAGCTGGTCCATTTCAACAGAGGAAAACCGACAACTGGAAGATGAGTGGAAAAGCGTCACATAAATGTATAAGTGCTCACAGCTCCGTGGGAATTATTATGTGCAATTCATTTCTAAAAGGCTTCACATTACTATCATTATATTTTTATTTAAATGTAGGACATTTTACACCAAAACGGAACACAAAAGCAGGACCAACCATCATACATTGAATTCCTTGACTAACAAGAGAAAGATTCATTAATTTAAATAAATATTTAACCAGAAATGGGCCGGTTCTAAAGGTTCTTCAGTTCAGCCCAATGAGAGGGGATACAGCTGTGCACATGTCATCATTAACAGACGTCGTTTAAGAGTGACGTTTGAGTGAACGAGGACATCCCAATTAATACCTGAGGACTCCTCTGTCCTCGCGTCACCTCCTCGTGTCTCTCGCTCGCATCTTACGGAGGCGGAGCTAAGACGCAAGGAAGGGAGGCGAGTGAGGGAAAGGAGGAGTCGAGGAGGGGTATTGGGATGAGGCTAGAGGCAATTCAAAGTGCTTTAGGATGTGAGTATCGCGCATGCGCATAACGCGATACTCATATTTACTTAATGTGTTGCAGGATTTATTTATTTTTAGGACGTGTGATATTAAGTAGGCAAATGAACTCAAACATGTTACAATTATTTTGCTGCTTGCTACAAAAGGAAAACTCGCGTGGCTCTCATGTCAGTTCGGCGCTGCTAACCGAGCTAGCTCAGCTTGTTGCTCTGAGAACTTAAGATCCAGAAGTCCGTGACTAAAATCCTTCATCCGGTTAAATATTGTTTAAAAAATACCAATTGTATTTAATTAAAGTTCAAGGAAGGATGGTATGCGGACAAATAAAACTGTCATATCGCAGAGGGAGAAAATATCGCAATGTCCGTTTTTTCCAATATCGTGCAGCCCTACTTAATAGCTTGCAGTCCAGTGATGCTTTCTATCGAGCTCTAGAGGGCAAGATCTAAATGAATCATGACATATGTTAGATACCAAGAGACCTTTAAAGCACGGCAATTTAATAGAAGTAGATACAACAGAAGCAAATGCTAAATATACAACATTTGGACGCACGCAAACATCACAGTAGGACAGGAAAGACGAAGCTAAACGTTGACAATTATACAAGGGACAGTAAAAAGTGAAGCACACGTAAGTATAGGGAACATATGATGTACCTCATATAGTCAAAAGTATAGCCAATCAACAACCAGGATATTAAACACTATTAGACTATATTAGTGAATATTGAAACGTAACTGTATAATATGTATCCTAATGACTTTAGTAAAGCACTTTGAATTGCCTTGTTGTTGACATGTGTGATATAAATGAACCAGCCTGGCCTTATTCCCTTTGATTTGTATATTTGGGCGGTTTTGGCGCAGTGGTTAGAGCGTTGGTCATCAGATCAAGGGGCGTTGGCGAATCCCGCCTCGGCCGCCACTGCGTCAGGCCGTTGTGTCCTTGGGCAAGACACTTCACCCGCATTTGCTCCTGTGGGTAATGTCCGCAGTAATGACTCTTACATGTCTAATATGTGTAATGTGTACGTTTAAAGCGCTTTGAGCACCTGTAAAAGCGCTCTAATAAAAAATGTAATGCATTATTATTATTTATTTGATGTTTGTTATGGAGGCGTGTGGTGCAGTGGGTTGTGCGTAGGGATGCATACCGGTATCCGGTATTACCGAAATACAGGTTACTGGTGGCTACGGTATACCGTACCGAAATCAGATCCGGTTTCGATACTTTAAAAAAAAAAATATATATATATTTAAATTTAATTTTAGAAGTGAGTCCGTGGCCCGTGACGGCGAGTCTTATAAATTAGATTGCATAATCGTTTTTCTTCATATTTGATGTATTTTTGTTTGTTCAATACTAGAAAGGTAAAAGTCCCACAAATGAACTGTGATGGGATTTGTTTTCTCTCACCAGTGAAAGCATGTTGATTTTAAATCCAGGCTGAAGACTTTTCTTTTTGTCGCTGCTTTTAATTGAACTATTCATATCTTAAACTGCACTGTAACTTTTATCCATGTACTTTTTCTTTTAATGTTTATTTTATTAGCTTTTCTTTTTAATGACTGATTTTAAATGCCATTTTCTTAATGTCTTTCATTTTTTGTAAAGCACTTTGAATTGCCTTGTGTTGAAAAGTGCTATATAAATAAACTTGCCTTGCCTTTAAAGATGATGTTTGTGCAATCCCGAGATCTCATGACCTTTATTCTATTATTTATTTGTTCTCTAGTCAAATCTCAGGTTTAACATGAATTATAACGGTCTGTTTGCAAGATGTGCCATTCACGCGGCACACCTGATGTGTTATAAAAGATATTCCATCATCGGTTTTCTTCATATTTTGTATGTATCTTTCATTGTTTGTTCAGAACTAAAAGGTCCAAGAAGTCCCACAATTGAATTGAATATTAATTTGACATGTTAACTATATCGTAAAGCGCTTCATGGGAGTAGTTGTGGGATGATACATTTTCAAAGTATCACGATATGTATTTAATTTCATTTTTATTTGTCCCGCTCATGGTACGCAAAACCAAATGTACAATAATTGCCACAAAGCATGACTCTACCAAAACACCATTGAGCGGAAAGGAGCAGGGAGAAGAATAACATCTTATGTTCCCTTTCTAAAAAAACAAATAAATACAAATAGATGGTCTGCCCTTCATAATAATATATATATATTTTTTTTTTACAGCCAAACATAACGGTATCTTAGGATACTAAGAGAAACACACACAAAAAAAAACGTATTTCCCACTTGACGGTTAACGGAAAGAAACAAAACACCCTCATCTGAGTCCTACTGGAGAAGAAGGTGGAAAGCGACGCATGATGACAATAATCGGTTGAGTATCGGTATCGTAAAAAAGTCAACAATATGCATCCCTAGAACTTGTGCGTTGGTGTTGGGATCAGGGGTCACAGCAGGTTCAAACCCCACTGCAGTCAGCATGTCGTTGTGTCCCTGAGACACTTCACCCCAAGTTGCTCCTGTGGGGATTGCCCACAGTATTGAGTATGTGAGTCGCTGTGGATAAAAGCGTCTAATCGCTTTCTTGGACTCAATAGACACTGGCTTTAGATCCTGCCCTCTTGTTCCTGGTGTGTTAAACATGTTAGAAAGAGGAGCTGCATGACTCAGTGTTTCACAGCTCAGGTCAGTGACAGTGTACAGAGGCCTGTACGATGAATGAGTTCAACAGACCCTGGATATGTTTGAGTTACCCGGCTCACCTAATCCTAACAACTCGCTAAGCGGTCCTACGGCGCTGGTTATCAACTCGGTAACTCAAGCCAGGGTTTCTCTGTCCGGCTGAGTGCGCGTTCACATGAAAGGGGCGGGGCTAGCAACATTTGACCAATCACAAACATGGAGAAGCGTACTGACAGCGCAGCGTCATACTTCCTGAATGAAAAGTGAACTGTAATATTAGACATATGAAGAAGTTAAACTTTAAACATCCATGACTTAAACACTTGATCCAGGATCAAAGCCACAGAGCTGCACCTGCAAGGTGAATACAGCTGGTAACAGAACAAGTGTTTGAATGCGTACATTAACAGGTTTATGATATCACTGCCCGTCTAAAACACCATCTGACTTTCATTACATTTGACTCGAGTGTTTCGTCAACTTAATGTGTTGCTTAAAATAATACTTCTGCATACAGTATGTGACACTGTGAGTGTTGCACGGATACGGCTCAGCTGACTCAGATAAGGAGATATATGATACATTATGATGTGATATGAATGATAATGGGACACATCGACGTCTGCACTCAGTGCCGCGGACTGTACGTAATGTTACTTTGATCCGGTTACTTATGTTGTGGCAGATATTTAATATATATAATAGTATAATAGTCAGATTGCTCTGAAGATGGAGGTGATGTTCTATTCATTTTCACGTTCACACAGTCGGTGATTTTGGCCGGCCGTCTTTCCTGCAAACTGTATTTCCTCCGCACACTGAGCTCTGATTGGTCAGCAGGCGTGGTGCTTTCGCTGAGTTGATCTCTTATCCTGGAACCTATCCTGCTTCGGAGCACAGGCTAGGTTCCAGGATAAATCACCATGGCGATCTAGCCCGCTAAAAAGTGAACCAGCTTTCGTAGTACCGGAAATCCCAGAAGTTATCTTGCTAAACGAAAATCCTGCTTCGTAGTATACCCCCCAGGTTAGCCGCTCAGCATAAGTTACCATGGAGATCTAGCCCGCTAAGAAGAGAACCAGCGTCGTAGGACCGGAAACCCAGAGTTTTCCCTGAAGTTAGCCGCTAAGCGAAAATCCGGCTTCGTAGTACAGGCCTCAGGTGTGAGAGAGAGATGCTCACCTGAGTGCCTTCCTGCAGCAGCTCCTCCCATCTGTCAAACAGCCCCCGAGCACGAGAGAGGGCCTTCTGCACCTCTCTGAACGAACACACACAACACACACACACACACACACACAACACACACACACACACACACACACACACACACACACACACACACACACACACACACACACACACACACACACACACACACACACACACACACACACACACACACACACACACACACACACACACACACACACACACACACACACACACACATTTTTGACAGGGTAACATTTATGAAGTATTTATTTATTATTTAGTGTCATTAAGATAGGAATGTCCTTCAAAACCCGCATACAGTCAAAGCATGCATCCTATTGGAGGTGTGCAGTAGCAGTGTCCTTCGTCCTCCTCTCTGACACCTGGCTCCTGCTCCTTGTTTAACCACAACAAACAGAAGCTAACAGTTCGCATCCTTCTCTAACTTCACAGCCCTTTGTAAACTGCCTGACAACAGCCCCACGTCCTCCTTTCGTCTCCTCACTAACAGCCAGATCAAACAAAGGCACATCTCAGAGATGACTCAGAGCGGAAGAGACTCTTTTTTAGTCGAAACAAACGTAAACAAACTGATTAGCTTGTAGCTCTGATGCTAGTTAGCTACAGCTAGCATTAGCCTTAACTTCGCTAATATAACTTTGTTTTAAATGAAAACACTAACTCACTGTCAGGTTAAGCTTTTAACATGTTATAGAAAAGGGTCAGCTTGGCGTTTTGTTGAGTTTAAGGTCTTCATTTGTACATTTCTTACCCTTTCACAACGAAAAATGGATCTTCTACTGACATGATGCTGAACGTTACTTCCTGTTCTCTTCACGCGCATGCGCACTGTGCAGAAAGAGATCAATAGTTTATACTTATTTAGGTAACCTAAATATCATAACACTCAGTCGTGGATAGTCCGTGGACCTTCGTTTCAATTGTTGTTTTTTCTTAAACCAGTAAACGGGAAAGTATGGAAGCCTGTTTGCGCCACAGAAAAGGTACAATGTATCCTGCAAATCCAAATTATGAGATGTAAGCAGAGGTGTAAAGAAACTTAAAGGTACTGTATTTAAGTACAATATAGAGGTACTTGTACTTTACTTTAGTATTTACATGTAGGCCTACTGCTACTTTGTGCTTCTACCCCACTACAGCTCAGAGGTAAATGGTGTACTTTGACTCCACTACATGTATTTAATCCCTTTAGTTACTTCACAGATCTGGATGAATGATGTGAAATATGATCAATTGTTGAATCAGACTTTAGTTCCACCTGGAGTAAATCCACCAGCTACCCTGCAGTATACAAAGTCATTCAGACTAGCTGCACCTTCACCAGCTTTGAGAACACTTTAATGATCAATCATTATAAAACATATCATATATATTATTCTGAAATGGACCAATCTGCACAACGACTACTTTCACTGTCGCTACTTTCACTATATTTTGATGAGAATACTTTTCTACTTTCACTTGAGGAACATTTTGAATGCAGGACTTTTACTGGAACAGAGTATTCCTACACTCTGGTACTTCTACTTTTACTCAAGTACAAGACCTGAGTACTTCTACTTTTACTCAAGTACAAGATCTGAGTACTTCTACTTTTACTCAAGTACAAGACCTGAGTACTTCTACTTTTACTCAAGTACAAGACCTGAGTACTTCTACTTTTACTCAAGTACAGGATCTGAGTACTTCTACTTTTACTCAAGTACAAGACCTGAGTACTTCTACTTTTACTCAAGTACAAGATCTGAATACTTCTACTTTTACTCAAGTACAAGATCTGAGTACTTTTACTCTAGTACAACATCTGAGTACTTCTACTTTTACTCAAGTTCAAGATCTGAGTACTTTTACTCAAGTACAAGACCTGAGTACTTCTACTTTTACTCAAGTACAAGACCTGAGTACTTCTACTTTTACTCAAGAACAAGGTCTGAGTACTTCTACCACCTCTGGTATAATACTATATATATATATATATACTAATCACCAGGTGCCCAAAGCCTCCTTCGAACTAAAAGCACAGAGAACTGCTGCAACTGAACTTACTGATAAATAATGACTCATTTAATTCAAACAAAAACAGCTGGAAAATAAATATGTAATGACTAAATAACATAAACCCTTATATAGCTCCAACAAGTAATACAACCAAAAACTGTAGCGTAAACAAATCTGTCTCTAAGTCTGGAGAAATGGTCTCGGGGCTTTTCGGGACAGAAAAGGACTTCCTGTTACACATCTGTATGAGATTAGTTGCCACGGTAACATCGACTGGTTGCAGCTGCTGCAGGAGTTTGTAGTAAATGACCATATGATAGTTTACACAGAGAGAAAGAAATGCAATGCTTTTAAACCCTCTGTTTACACACTGTCCAAATATAGCTTGGCACAGTAGAGCAGGAGCGGGGGGGGGGGGGGTTGTCCTGGAAGAATACACACATGAATACACTTTTATGACAACTGTGCAACATCTGTATCCTAGAAAATCCTGTAATGTGATTCTGAAATGTCCTGAAAAGCTGCTAATGTCATGTTATGTTGAGATTGTTTTCTCAGCTGCTGTAGGAATGATCTTTCATGGTGAAAACATGTGCATAATGAGACCAAATAAGTGTTTTGTGCACTTCCAGTGTGGTATACAAAGCCAATAAAGTGTAGAAAATGAAAGTGTTGCACCCCTAAAATGTGATGTTGACAGTAGAAGTTCATTCTTTACTTAACCAACAATGATTTAATGAATGAACACCTGTAACATTTAATTTGCTTTAATGACCGTACAGTTACAACATATCTGTCACATATGACAAATGTGCATTTTATTTATGTTACAAATCAAACTTCTGATAAAATACTTTATTTTAATGTAAAGAAATCTTTATTTTCATGAATTGATGACGCTTTATTGTCTTGTGTTTACGTGTGGACATGTGTTTATAGGGGGATTAAATGATATGCGACTAAAATACCTATCCTCTCATTAAACTGTCACAAGTATGCAATAAAGGAAAATCTAAAAACCTGGAATAATCTGAAATATTTGTCAACGTTTCCTACATTTCAATTTATCTGATACAACTTAAACATGTTGACCACGGGGGGATCGAACAACCGACCCTCCACTTAATTATTCAATTACATTACATTCACAATTATGTATTATCTGAGGCGCTGTTTACACGAGAACATAAACGGTTGTATCTGATACTTTTCTCTCGCGTATATCCCGTTCGTTCACACGAGGCCGTAACGGAACCGCGGACACGGACCCCGCAGACGATAACGGGTCCCAAGGTGGATAGATCTGCAAACGGGGCCAAACGGCTCAGTGTGTACGCCCATACGATCATTTCCTGATAACGATGAAGCCATAGCCCCGCCTCTCCCCGCCTCTGCTGCTCACTGCTGTAGCATGGTCAGTAGCTAGGGAGACCAGGGACAGTTGCAACACTTTTTCGGTTTTTCCCCAATAAGTAAAAAACCATTTACAATAGGATAGCCATTTTGCTATATTATACATTATCAATATGTCAGCTACTGAAACAATGTATTTAAGATGTTTTTATGAAATAATTACAGGTTGGAAAATGTATTTTTTTTTAAAAACTCAACTGTTACAACTGTCCTTGTGTACAGGGACAGTTGTAACACATGCCAGGCACGGTTGTAACATGTTAATAACGGTTACCTTTTTCACACTACATGACAACAAATAGGGAAAGATGTCAAATTCTAAGGCAACAAGATTTGAATGTGGTTTCACATATCCTCCAACAAACAATGAGCAATGAACAGGATAACAGATAACACACAGCATCATCCTCTGTGAAGGATTAAACTGTTCTCTGAGAGGTGCTTCTACCTTAATGATGTGGACCTACCTCCTTTGAGCTGAGACCATAATATAAACCAGCTGCCTCCATCAGGTAGTCTCTCAAAAGCATCTCCTGCTCTGTTGAGAACACCTTCTTTGGTGTCCAGTAGCCTACTCTTGGGGGTGTTTGTGATCCCTGACTCTCCAACCTCAGCCTCTTTGTATGGAACCGGTACAGGGTGACACGGCATATATCCAGGGACTTTGCCACTTCCCTGAATGATTTGCCCTCCTGCACTTCATTTGAGGCTCTCTGCAGCAGAGCAAAGGCACTCCCCTGTCTGTCTTCCTCTTTCTGACATGTGGCATACTGTAAACACACACACACACACTTTAGGCCTACTGTACAGTATTATATTCCGTTTATTTTTACAGGGACAATGCACACCAACCAACAATACAACTGTATGCTTGAATGAACAATTGATCATTCAAGCAAATGAGCCATCATTGTAAATGTGCCATGTTACAACCGTCCCGTTACAACCGTCCCAGGACCACCAGTCTTGCTTCCACCCCCTGTGAACCTGCCTGGTTGCTAGCTTGACCAATATTTAGCTAGTTATATTTGTAGCTTACAAAACAGTGATTCTAATAATACTAGTTTGGATTCCTAGACATTTGAACTCAAGACAGTATCCAAAAAATACATCATATAATTGTAGTTAATATTTTACCTCAGAAACTTTTGCTGATATCTTACGCAAGAAATTCAAACGTGGCTCCTTTTTTTCTCAGCGATCTTACCATCTAACTGCGCATGTGCAGAGTGAGTTTCATCACTCTGGCTTGTTTGTGATTGGAGATATTGAAGGTGTTACAACCGACCCGTGTTATAACTGTCCTTGGTCTCCCTACTGTCACCGCATGCTACAGATGTTAGTGCAAAATCTACAGCTCCTCACAACCATCAGCAACAAGTGGACATGGAGAATTACATGACTTGTTCCTCGAGTCTCTAAAAGTGCAATGGGAGCCAGAGCCTTTTCTTATCAAGCTCCACATTTGTGGAATCAGCTTCCAGTTTGTGTTCGGGCGGCAGACACCCTATCCGTTTTTAAGAGTGCGCTTAAGACCTTCCTTTTTGATAAAGCTTATAGTTAGGGCTGATTAGATTCAGCCCCTAGTTTTGCTGATATAGGCTTAGTTTGTCGGGGGACATCTTACTTCTTCCTTCTCTCTGTCTGTACCTGTGTACTCTCATGTTCCGATTAACCCAGCTTCCCCAAATGTCTTTCTTTTTGGTGTCTATATACGCCGGGATCCGGAGTCATGGATGATCCTGCGCTCCTCTGTCCTGGATCGCGAGCCCTGGATCTTGAGTCGTGGCTGTGGTCCTGGATCATAGGTCCTGGATGGATATCCTCGTGGATTCATCTTCCTATTATACACACATGCATTTCCAAACATTTGGACTACCTATGTTGCAAATGTATTATCTTTTCAATTTACACACGGCATCTATTGCACGTCTGTCCGTCCTGGGAGAGGGATCCCTCCTCTGTTGCTCTCCCTGAGGTTTCTCCCATGTTCCCCTTTAAACTGTGGGTTTCTCTCTGGAAGTTTTTCCTTGTACGATGTGAGGGTCTAAGGACAGAGGGTCTAAGGACAGAGGGTCTAAGGACAGAGGGTCTAAGGACAGAGGGTCTGAGGGCAGAGGGTTTAAGGACAGAGGGTCTAAGGACAGAGGGTCTAAGGACAGAGGGTCTGAGGACAGAGGGTCTGAGGACAGAGGGTCTAAGGACAGAGGGTGTCGTATTGTCATACTGATATTCTGTACACACTGTGAAGACCACTGAGACAAATGTAACATTTGTGATATTGGGCTATATACATAAACATTGATTGATTGATTGACATGAATTACATGAACTGCTAAATCCACTGCGGGGCATAAACAGAAGGGCAACCATGGCAACCATGCTCGGGGGTCTTCTTCTCTGCTTTTGGTGTATTTTGTGGCGAAAGTACAGCGCCACTTACAGGCCCGGCGAATGTACTACAGCGTCTCCAGAGCGGTCTCGTGTGAACGGAAGACTTTTTTGATAT